GAATAAAAATTACAATTTCTCAATATTATAATTCATTTAGAAACTTTTATTAAGTCCTATTTCGTCACTAAACTGCCATTTAAATTAATATGTTCTTGGCCTGTTTCCTATTACCAATATAATTCTCTTATAAAATTATTGTTTAATGCCAGCCAATCGACGACTAACTGATCACACACGCTGAATTCAAAGAAAGTTTGTTGATATTTCTCCCCGAAAAACGAAAAAAAACAAAACCTTTCCATTGGTCATTAAACATTTATCGAGAACTGCTCACTACAGTTTGCTTTGCCCCAAAGAGGTGGTCATTAAATATTTTATTATTACATTTTCTAATAGTTGGTTGGGAAAGAATGGGAAATACGCCACGAAATGTCGCAATTCGAGTCGGAGGGTTGTACAATTTAATTTATCAAACTTCTGCTACGGTGCACCCGCACCAGAAAGAGACAGAAGATGGCTGGGAGAGCGAGATGGGTAGAATGAGAAGAAAGAGACAACGCACGGAAACCGGAAGGCGGATGGCGGGAGCAAATTCTGTGCCTGCACTTCCGCTTTGCGACTATAGTCGCATTTGCGGGTTGTGCGGTGGGTCAATGAATGGGTGGTGCTGGCGGTTGGTAGCGGATTCCAGCTCCGTGTCGTGTGTGTTATTTATAATGCGACGGGGCCAACAGAACAACACGAGTTTATTAGCCCGCTCGATTTACGATCTGCCACAGTTTTAAGGCCTATCTGCGTTAAGTTTTATATGCACCGCACTTTGATAGAGTTGCTGGGGAAAATGTATGCAATAAGTCAGACGAAAAAGACACTTTTTGGGATTGCATTTGGAAAACAGAGGTAATGCAAATGTAGGCAAATGAAAATTCTGAACTCCGCTGAAAATATGTCAGGCTAATTCTAATGTATTCCTTGTTTTATGTTGTAAATTTGGTTTTGTTGTTTTTTACTTACATCTTTATAAGTCAAAAAATAAGTATTATTTAGGTCTTGGTATTAACTTTATACGTATACAATCTCAAATTCATTTGGCAATAGGCACTCATGAAGCAATGCATATTTTGTTCCATAAGTTTATTTATGGCATAAAATAGCATAGAAGATATGTTTAATATATTTTATTTCAGCTGCTGAAAAAACGTATATCAGCATTTTAAGGTTTAAAGTCTTATTTCACTTGCGAGAATAAGAAAACAAACTCTTTTGTTTAAATCGCATCTGAACAATTTAATCTTTAAGATTTTCAACTAATTACAGTCAAGCCTAAAGGTATGCAATTCAAACCGAAATATCATAACCTTATGCCTCGTTTCCTACAATCCCCTCGCAGCCGCCCTTTCATCATCTCCCCGCAGAACCTCTTTCACAAGTCTGAAACTAATGCACGCCAATTTTCAATACAGAAAATCGAACTTTGAAGTGGACGCCTCTCTGCCACGCCTCCCATTGCGTTACTTTCGCCAAAGGGGCGTTATTCAAGGGGCGTGGGAGGCGTAGTGGGCGTAAATGGGTTCAAGGATGGGGATCTGCAGACGGCACTTGGCGTGCATTTCTATTTTGCTTGGCCGAAAAACTCTTGAAACTATTATCGATGAGGCGCCCGTTCCGTTGGGAGGTTATTCCTGAGTGGACGAGGGCGTCACTGACACCGACAAATATGACTGACGAAGACGGAATGCACCTAAAAACAAACTAATGGCAATTTGTGTACTGCATTTGCTTGTAATTACAAAAGCACGGAATTAATCGAATATCACAAAACTTATAATCAATAAATAGTTTTAGTTACCTAGACCAAATTAGAGTGTGTAAACATTTCTATTGATCTTATATACATCCACTCCTATTTCATTTTGAAAATGCATTTTGTGAAATAAGAGCATTCAAAGATAAGAGTGAGTTTTTAGGTTATTTTATAAAAAATATAAAAAACATCTGTATTTAAGTACATATTTCTCTGAGTGTAAAGCCCATTGAGGGCTCGAACGTTGGCGATGCCAACGAACGCGTTTTGTGCGTGTTAAAGCACACAGGGAATATAAAAAGGGAAAATATGAAAATATCCCTGCAAACTTAATGGCAGAGAAGGCGAAGGGCTGCCTGCCCAGCACTTTACCACTTTTTATGCCTGGCGATAAATTAAAATTTTTATTAACATACTTTCTCCGGCGAGAAAACAGTGGGAGGAAGGAATAGTGGAAGGCAAGAACAGGAGTCGCGGACCCAAAACGTCAACTTGTCCGGCACTTGGCGGCGATTCGCTGTGAGGGGCGTGGCAAAGTAGAGGACTCTTTATGACTTTTGCCAACGCACGCTGAAACTGACCAGACCGTCCTCCATTTCAGACCCTATTCAAACTACCAACCGAGCTGGAGGAGCCTTTGCAATTATATTTTGTTGATGCAGGAGGAACCGGAACGCCAGGAAATGCAGTTTTTCATCTTGTTCACTCTGGGCAATGACAGCGGGGTGAGGCGGGGGAGTGTGGGTGGAAAATCGGGAAGGTTAGCCGGAGTCGGATTCTGCAGCCGGCCGCATTATCTATGCATTATTGTGGCTCGGCCATTGGCCATCTGCCGGCTGCCGTCTCAGCAGAAAATAATATTCTATTAAATTATGTATACGTTTTTGTCGGAGGATTTTGTAAAGTGAATATTCCACTTGTCGGGTTTAAGAGCTGCAACAGCTTCATAAAAGATAATACAGTTGAAATGGAGATAGGATTTTAATATTTAATTTTTTCAGAATCAAATACATTAATATTATTATTAATTAACAAACTGCAAATGAGAATAAGCTAACTATCGTTTCATGAGTACTGCCTCAAAGTTTGACATTTCATTAAGTTTTTTAGCAAATTTAATTTTAAAAAATTCCCTACGGACATGTAAGCTCCCCACACTTGCATCTAAAATGCCATTAAATATTATTTATGTATGGCGCAGAACCGACAAAAAATCAAATTTAAAATAAATCTCCTGTGTCGTAATTAATTTTTTCCCCCTTTTAATTAATTATTAAATGGAGCATACATAATTCCGATCTCGTGCTTAAACGTGGACAATGGACACAAATGCGAAATGCGAAATGCAAAGCCCACGTTAAGGCCCCTACCTAAAGGACCTCGTCTGGATATCCTTCGAATGGCACGTAGGCAAACATCCCTCCACACTTTTCCCCGCTCCCCGCTGATGCCCAATGCGTTGGAATGCAAATATTTTCCACTATAATTGAAGCGCGACAAATGCGAATTGTGAGCGAATGTGATTGCGTTGGTTCAGGCGATTTTCAATGGTTTGTTGAGGGGGTTATTTTAAAAGAGGTAAAACAACACGTATTTAATGCACATGTATTTCAATCATCCAATTTAGCATGCAAACAAAAATGATTTGCAATGCGGAAGGGGAAGTAAGGACATTACATTTCACGAAATGGTTTTTAAATTGATAAAAAAAAAGGAATGCTATCCTTGCTCATAATTGCAGTTGTGTTGAAAAAATTTATTCATGCAAGTAAAACAATTACAGGCCAGTAAATTGCAATGGCGGACAGGAGATGGGAAATCGAACAATTGTCGCACATTAACCACAGATGCGTTGGGATGGTCAAGGATGGTCAAGGATGGGCAGGAATAATAAGAGGGGCGGTGTGGGTGGTGCCGGGATTATGCCCGGGTTCATGTTCATCGATCCCCGGATGAATGACGATTTCGGTTCACTTGTTTCACATCGTGCCCCCGCGATATTAAGCGAGACAAAGGCAGTCTACGGGTTAATACTTCCTTCGTTGTTCGCTCTTGTTTTAAAGGTTAAAAGGGTATATTGTTTATGTGCAACAGGGAGAAGACAGCTCTAACGACCCTGTAAAGTATATACTTTGCTCATGAACAAGAAAGTTGTATAGTCTGTTTGTACCTATTAACAACGACATCTTTAAAGCCAGGTTATTAAGGCTGACCATTTAGTTTCTTATTATATGGTAATAGACAAAAGCCTGTGAGGGAAGTCATCATCTACCTATATATAAATATTCACTCGACAATAGACCTCTAATTAATCACTTATTAGGTGTCTGTAAAATTCGGAAATAATATCAAAAATTTATTTAAATGCTTTTTTACATGACCATCAGAGAATTTATTCTGACGCCAAATTATAAAACGGTTGACGTTATGGACTTTTGATTGTCAAAGCATGTCTAAGGAATTCACGACAGCAAGAAATGTAATGGAAGGGAATTTAATGCGCGATACTCAAATCCGCTCAAGTGGAAAACAGCCACAAAAAAAGTCTTGTTATAGTCGATATTGAAATGTTTATGGCATAGTTCAATGAGGAGCAGAATCCCTGGAAATAACGTGGGAATAAAAATTTTATTTATGCGATTTCTTTCAGTCTTTGGACTATGGTAGAGTGGCAGGAACTTTTTATCCAAGAGCAAACTATTTATCCCGGACCCTAACTTGAAAACAAAAGAGAATGCAATTTTAAGTTATCCTCAGAATAGACTATATGATATTAAAAAAAAAAAGGTAGGGTTAAGACTTAATACATAAATCCCTGGACTTTTAAAAATTGTTTTAAAAAAGAAACAATAGTAAATATTGAAAAATTGGAGCTATAAGAGTTATAAACTTCATTAATGGACTCACTGTCTGACTTCAAATTACATGTTCAAAATTTTGATTTTAAGCATCTTTTAACTTGTGATTAATCAGTAATTCCAACTTCATTAGCAACCCCTTATTAATAAAATATTTAAAACAAATTACTGTACACCAAAGTATTTTCACCCTCCCAAAGGAGTTTATGTTTTGATATTTTAAGACCTTAAGTGATCAGAAGCTTGAACTTTATGATCTTGTTTGTCAGCTTCGCACCAAATATTACCAAACACTTGAGTGCCCCAGGCACTTTTCTCAGAAATTTCTCGCTGGCTTCGAGCTCTGCCTTTTATTGCCAACAATTCTATTGTCTTTTATGTCAACGTCAACTCACCAGACACAAGAGTTGATGAATTTTGTCGCTTCGCAGGATGGGTGACTTCAGGCAGCACACACACACAGCCTGAATGTGTTGGTGTAGTGCGGGTTGGTGTAAGTATTGGTGTGTTTATTTCGAAGCGCGCCAAAAAGTATGCAATGCGAACTGTGAGTCTTGTGTTGCGGGTCTGCGATTCGGTTTCCGACTGACGATGGCTGATGGTCGAATGTCGAATGGCTTCTAGCTGGCGGCTGATGGCTGATGGCTGGTAATGTGATTAGTTGGCCCGTCTATCGATGCTAGTGTGCTACTGTGTGCGAGTAAATTTTAATTTAATTATGTCGCTCTCGTTTCAATTACGAAAACCGCTCGCAGCGAAGACACGCACTAATAAACAAAGGCCAACAATAACAGAACGGAAAAATAAGCGACGCCTGGTGTCGCTGCCGAAGGAAAACTGAAGGAAAATGTGTCGAATGAGTGGGACCAACCAGCAAATATGCTCTGCCTCTCCCTCTCCGCTCGATGTCGCTCGGCTCTCGGGCTTTTCCGCTGCTCTCTGGCTTTTCCGCTGATGAAAATGCTGGCAATCGAATGCAACTGCCTCCCACAAGCGACTGAAATGCGTTGCATATGCCAAGGCGCACGTTGAGTCCCCGTGGAACGAGTGGAATTGGAACGCACCCAGACTGGAGTGAAATTCAATTGAGTGCAGTGTGCACTTCTGAGTGCCCGGGAATGAGTGGAATTCCGCAACACCTGTGCAATCGGGAGGAGGGGGTGGACGTTCTTTCCCTATTCATTCTTTATCGCCACCAAAACGGGCAGTCAAAATTTTAATTGGGTCTGTCCAACTTGCAGCACACAATTCAATTGAGCCGCTCGCCCGCTTGGAGCTCATTAAGCTGGAGGGTTGGAAATTATATCGAAAGGCCATAAACTCCTAATGATTGCCCTCTGGGTTCACTTCTGGGGAAGTAGTTATAGTGGGCTATTGAGCCTGTCTGGCCTCATGTCCTTTTGGATGTTAGTTCTGTTAACTGCTTTCCCTACGTTCACATCCTCTTGGATTTTCGTTATTTACTTGTAAATTCTGAGTTCACATACACCAAAAGTATTTTATTTTATCAAGTTTACAGCTAAATATATCAACAAAATTAAACCTTAAAAATAAGGTAGCAAGATTAAAGGTGCGAAACGGATTATGATTGTTTTCTTAATTGTGAAATAAAACTATATATTATCCCAAAAAAATTGTGATTGATCAATATGGAAAATAATTCAAAGGCCAAATCAGTATATAAAATATGAGAGTTCTTTATGCATTTTAAGCCGTACAATATAATGAAGAAAATACAAGTTATAACAGATCAAAGCAACTTAATAACTTAAAAAAAATAATTTCTGGTTTTATGCTATTATAAATAGGATTTTTATTTTAACAATGTCATTTCAATTCGATCCATTATTGTTCCTGACCTATTTTTAGGTCGAAAGTAAGTCCTTCCTAATCATTTTATGACCTACTTATGCGAGCCATAGTTATAGTTTCATTCCCTCGTGGCAAGTCAATTAAGCTAGTATATGCAGGGCACCATCAACAGATGACACAGAAACACTTTTACTCGCAGCACTTTGTGAAGTGGATCTCTTGGCAGGCATTACCTGAAAACGCTCCCAAAGATGCCAATCTCCGTCCGTCTGCTGCCATCCGACGAGTGCGATGGTGACGCAGCTTAAGGGCGGCTCCACGGGCCCGTTTATCCAGGAATCCTCCTCGCAATCCCGGCCAGATTCCCCTGACAGTGTCTGGCACTCTTCCACGGACTCCGGCGCTGACTTCTACGCCGTGAGCAGGTGTTTCCATTAACATCGGGACAATAAAGGCAACGCCATGCTCTGCAATATGCAACAGTTGCAGACACGCAGGAAAAGCGATGGAAATGGGAAAATGCAGGCGTGGAACGCACATTTATAAGTAGTTGTGTAATCTATCCATGAACGTTGCTTCCGTTTTGCATTTTATATGCTTAACGCATCGTTTGGCCGGCGCAAATTGAGTTTCAGTGTCGCTGTCGCGGAAATATCTGCTCTCCAATGGATAGATGGATGGATGGATGGATAGATGGATAGCCGTATAGATGGATGCCTGGATGAATGGGTGGGATATATCCTTTTCGCGCGTGATATTGGCGCCGCCATCGATTGGGAGTGCCGTTTGACAGCAGTCTTTCATCCTTTATCGTTTATCCACTTTGTGGCTTCCAGCGAACACGAGCAACGAGCCAATTAAAACTTTTACCCAATCAACTTAATCAACAAAATTCTCAAATTATGCGATTGTCATTAGGCCGCAGACAGCGATAAGTATGCAGAGACCAAAAATCTTTCTGAATTAATCACATTAAGAGATTACGATTTACATTCTTAATTTGTGGTAAGTAATTATAATCTTGCCACTACGGACTCTTCCTGCAAATCATAGGTCAAATAGAAAATTGGAAATTCAAAAATTTTTCTTATTTCTTAGAACCCATAATTGATTGCTTTCGATACAAAAATATCAGTTTTAAAAATTAAAATAATTAGTATAAACTTATTTTCGTCAGGAACATAGCTAATTGATGTCTGACAAAAAATATTTAAAAAAATGAAAACTTTTTAAATTAAAAATGATTTAAAACGAAAATAAATACAATTTACAGTGCTTTATAGTACATTTCTTGGATTAGTAAAAGTTATATCGAGTTTATAATTTCTGAACTTTAGAACAAACTACAAACGCACTAAAGTTAAAATGAGCAAAAAATAGATTATCGCGACGAACGGGAATCATTTTTAAGTAAAATTGGTGCAAACAGGATATTGAAATTTGGTTTCGGCTCAAACTTTTTTCGGGTGTGTTGAGGAAACGGGAGGCAAACTATCAAGTGCAGAGCCAACGGTGCGTATTATTTTCAAATGCCTCACACAGGATGTGTCCACGTTCCGTGCAGAAGCGAAGGCGGCAAAAGCCACGCCCCCTGAATCACCCCCGCCTCCGAGGAAGCCACCCAAATGCTGACAAAAATGCTTTTGATTTGTGAGCCACTCTCACACGCATAGCCACCCACGCTTATTAGAATCTTGCCATTGTGTGCGAGCCAAAGTGCAACTAGCAGAGACAGATAGCAAACAATGTGGAGCTGAACGCAATTTACGGCCAGGAATGGGGATTTTCGCAGCGGGCTAATAGGATTGCGGCTGATTTGGGGACCCTCATTTCGACCATCTTTACTAGAGTACAAGAAAAATTAATTTTGAAAATTTGGGTCCGAACTCCATACGATGTTATATATTTAGAGGTTTCATAACATATATTTCATAGCATATATTCTTTCCTTACATTAAAGGGCTTCTTCTAAAGAATGTAACACTCCTAAGAAGGAATACAATTTAAACATTTACAGCATTAAAAACTCAGAACAAAACAATTTTTAACAGATGAAGACAATGAAAATCCAAAATATTGGAGCCAATCAAATTTCATGGTATATGGAATTTGCCTCAGTTAACATAAAACATTAAACGATAAAATCTAAGCTTTTTGAAAATAGACCAAAGACATTTGCTGTACATTAAATGAAAAATGGTTAGCTTAGATTTGATCGTTTAATGTTGTATGGTTGTTTTATAAAAACGTAAATAAATAGTTTTTAAAAGTACTGCAAATTATGGGTTTTAAAAAACCTGCTGTAACACGCTTAGTTTCTACATAGGTTACCGTTTCGAGAGATCACTGTATTAAGCAATAAATTATTAATTAATAAGCCGTATTAATTCATATATTTAAGTACCAATTCAAAAAAAGTTTGTCTATACTTTACTATATTATATTTTTTAGAGACCACACAATTCAGAATATATTTTTGCAATTCATAAGGTAAAAAATATTTTACACTTTTTTTAATGCACATATATGTTCATATATAAATTTAAAATTTCATTAAAAAATAAAATTTTGCAATGAAATCTCTCTAATTTGGCCTACTTATTTAAATAGTACGATAAAAAAAGGCAAAATAAAGCGGGATAACTGCTTTTAAGACTAAATAGTCGTTATATTTTCCCCCGTAATATTCCCAAGCATTGCCAGACAGTTTTCACACGGTCATCGACCAGAGTTGCCGCAGCATCGCATGCAACCGATAGTCATCGGTAAGTGCGATATTCTCTTGGCTGCCTGCTCTGGTCACACCACACCAATGACGCTTGAATTTAAGCGGACAAACTCGAAAAGAAACACTAAAAACGCAGACGCTTGCTAAAAAACTAGTAAACGCACAAAAGATAAGGCATTTTCAACGTTAAAAAGTAGAGTCCGCCGCCAAGATGCCGCGCACCAAGATACCAAAGAACTCGAAGCGCAATCGCGAGGTGGCGAACCGGGAGGAGAAGGTGCGCTTGTACGAGCTAAAAATGGATTCCCGCCTGATCAGCATCGATTCGCTGGAGACCAAGTTCCTGTCCGCTATCGACCTCCAGGTGAAGACGCTCCAGGGCCAGGTGCAGAAGGAGCTGGCCAACCTGAAGATGCCCGAGCTCCTGCGGCTATTCACCGAACTGGACCGCTTCAGCGACTACAAGGCCAGCGATCAGACGCAGCTGCTCGCCTCGATGTCCATGAGCAGCGGTGCTATCGATGGACTCGCGCCCTCGGCCACCGGCAGTCGCAATGACGAAGGTTTGTGCGCGCCTCGGAGGCGCATATGTATACTGGACTCCCTTCCAGATTGATTATCACACTATTTTCCAAAAAGTGTCCGATTTGTAGCTAATATAGGACAATCCCTTGCAGGGAATCTTAGAATGTAGGCAGCGTACCAAAGTTACTCTGGTTTATCATGTGGGTGAAACCCACGGACCGATTTCCACTTTATTTAGAGACCAATTTTCACCAAAATGTATTCAAAAAACGTAAGTTTAGGCACTCTCTTGGAGAATAACTCGAAAGCTTGGCAACATTTGTAGGAATTCCGGTTCATCCACCCAATTTCAAGCAACAATTTATAGTTTGAGGGGGAACCCTTTTATGTCTAGTACTAGCACTACCTCGCATAGAGTTCATTTAAGGAATTGATTAGAGAAATATATATTTCAACAATCCGCTGTAAAAGATCTCGAAATCAGGACACCTTATTATTACCGTATTTCAACAGTACAATTTTGTTTAACCTAATGTGAAGAACTAGAAGTAAGTGATAATAGTACTTAGCATAAGGGCTTTAACACCACCATTTAAACCGAAGAATTTCAAATTTAGCATTCTCTTGCATCCGTGATAGTTACTTCACTAACTGGTTTATCAGCCAATTTCATCCAAAAAGAATTCTTTTTGCACTTCCTTGCAGAGGACCTTGAATGACCCTAATAAAACAGAAAGATTGAAATTTTCTTCTCTATTTAGAGAGCCATGTATAATCCTGGCTTAGGGTTTATTACCAAACTGAATCCGAAAAACGTTTATTTAAGCTCTTCCTAGTAGAGGATTTGAGATCATTAAGAAAGCTGCTAAACTTTCATTTTTTTTTAAAGTTTTATGTCTAGTACTGGCACTTTATTGCATAGAGTTTAAATATATATATTTATCAGCTGGCAGTGTTCCTAGGGATCTAAGGCTAGTCAGCAAAATTTTTACGAAAAATTCACATTTTACCCTTTATTTGCTGCAGTTAGATTATTATGCAAAGGTTATGGATTGGTGAAAGAATCCTAAAGAAAATCCTGTTCATCACCAAACTTTAACCAACAAATTGCAAGAAAAAATCAGGATAGATAATAATAATATTTTATATGTGTAGCATATAGAAAATAGTTTGATACAGTTTTGACATTAAGAAATAGTTTTTTTGCTGATCGGTCGTATAAACCGCAATCGGAAACTAAATCAATAACACAATACTTACAGTACTTTTAACTCCACTAAAATTTCTCCAGAATTGATACTTATAAAAGAGTATATGTACATTAATGCTTCGGTTTCCGAAGCAATTCACAATTCTTGTTCTCATTTTGCCCTTTTAATTTTTCTCTAACTGGTGTCCGGCTTTGTGACTAACTCAACTTTGCTTTCTAACTTCGCACCGCACATTTCACTGCACTGCAAATGCACCACCGATATCCACATCCACATCCTGTGCCGGTCACTGTATCTAGGTTACCTTACAGAGGACAGCAGCATTGGAGCCAGCGGCGGCAGCCTCCTGGCCGCCCACACGGGCTCCCTGCTGCGGTCCACGAAGGCGATGCGGACTCCCGGACCGCTGCACTCGGCCAGGGCCCGCCGTGCCCGACGCAGTCGATCCGCCTGCGGGGAGCTGAATATCCTGCACTCGGCCAAACCGCCGTCCAATTCGAACAGCAGTGGTGCAACAGCAAGTCGAAACTCCCGCAGCAAGATGCGCACACCGATGGCTTCTCGCACCAAGGCGTTCAGTGCTGATCGCACACCTTTATCACAAAAGCAGATACGCTCCGGATCACCATGCTCTCCGCCAATGGCCTTCCTGCGCTATCCCAAGCCCGGCGAGGTGGCCCTCTCCAAGTTCGGCAGCCCCATGGTGGCTCAAGTGTAAGTTTTCCATACAAACACCTAAGAATTTCATATTTTAATAATGTATTTACCTTGTCAACAGAATGCCAGACAAGTTCGCCAATGTGAACATTCCCATTCGGAACGGAGTTCTTAGCTTGCGGCCCAAGAAACTGGATGCTGGGGAGGTCGAGTCGAATCTCCTGGATAATCTGGACGAAGATACTCTAAACCAGATCAAAACACTGCACGAAAACTTGCAGATGATCGTGAATAAGGCCAGCCAGGCGGGATTCAAGTAGTTGCCAATTCAAATGTTTATCTAGATATAATTCTATATCATATATTTTAGTATGCTTTGTTTAAGTTCAGTTTTCATCTTACTCAAATAGTTCAAGTATTTTGTCTTCATTTATTAAAATCTGTATCGTATTTACATAAGCTTCAATACAAGTTCATATTCTATGTTTATCCAAGTGTCCGGGGACTCAATTGTATTTTTTTAAAAAAGAAAAAATGCGTCGCTCTATGATTATGACAAGACTTCAGGCGAAACGCCGAAAGACCGAAAGAGATGAGAGGGTGCGCATTCAATTCAATTCTGCTATGGATAAACTCAATGAAATAGAACAAATATGTAAACAAAACGTGGACTTCGATTTAAATTGGATTCGAGCCAGGACTGATGAGCAGATTCTGCAGATGAAATGGTCTGATTTAATGAAATGTAAGTCTTACTTCTTTATCTGCATTATTTAATCAATCAATAATTATTTATTGATTAGATATCAACAAAAACTAGATGCAAAACCAAACGCTTTAAGATAACTGGATTCAAGAACCTATACATTTAATTGGTTATTTAAAATTTGTATTATTGTTTTATAAACATTTTATTTTAGTTCATCAACCTATTTCATCTTCAAGTATTTAAAATGTATTTTACTAACCCCTCATACTTAAATTCTTGTTTAAACTCTGTTTTAACCAAAGAGCCCTTTGAGTTTGTTATAATTGGTTCGGTATTGGTAGAAAGGTTACTGAATACTTAGAAATATGCCTCGCACCAAGATAGTATTACGTAAGCAAGCTCAGCGCAAGAAGGCTGATCGCGAGGAGAAAGTGCGTCTGGCCCAAATGAAGATGGACTCCGCTCTGGAGAAGATCGACGAGATGGGCAAGCGATACAAGCAAGAGGTGGACAACCAAATCAAGCTGATCCGTGGGAGAACTGACAAGCAGCTGCTGCAGATGAAGTTGTCAGATTTCACGGCCCTAAACATTAAGAATTTTGCCGAGCATCAGTGGGCAGGTGAGATTATCTAAAAAATGAAAGAAATTAAAATTTTACTTGGTATTATAAACAAAGTTAAGCTGGAGATTCGGTATGCAAAGGAAATTGTTATTAAATCGCCAATGCAAAGTTCTATTAGTTACATGGTTAATTCTAATCTTTGAATTTTATAATGCTCAGGCATAAAATATATAAAATTATGAGTGCCCACAAACATAAGCTTGAAAGTAAAGTTGGCTAATTATTTTAATTAATCATAAATAATATAAGAATTTAATTATGAGAAATGTTTTTTAAGTCTTTTTCGTAATACTAAATTAAGAAATGCATAGAGTATTAATAATCAAATAATATATGCTTACGCAGCCTTTTCTTAAATTGCAATGCCAAATATAATTGTAGGTAAATTCGAATTCGGTATTCTTATTAATAAAACTTTGTTCTGCTGCCCTTTAGTTCCCAAGCCACCCACATCTCGCAGTCTTTCCATCAGCCAACCTCGCGGTCGAACTCGGACTCCCCAGAGTTCCCAGTTCCCGCGGCTCCAGGCGCAGTCGGCGGACAGGGCCCTCAGGGGCGACTCCATGAGCTTCGTGCGATGGCCACGGGCCGGGGAGCAGGTGCTCTCGAAGGCTGGAAGTCCGCTGGCCGTGCAGATGCAGTCGGACCGCTGTGCCGACGTGCACATTCCCACCAAGAAAGGCGTGATCACCGTGAAGCCGCAGAGGATCAACGAAGTGAAGCGGGAGGTACTGATGCAGCTGGACGAGAACACCCTCAACCAGGTGAAAACGCTGAAATCTAATCTTGGATTGATCGTGGACATGGCCACCAAACTGGGTAGACTGAAAACCTGTGAACGAACGACCCAAGGAAACTGAAAGACCTTCATGATTATTACGCTTATTTCGTTATTATTTTATTTAGTCTTTTTCATTTTCTCATTTTCAATGTTTTTGTTCAGTTGTTAAACATTAAGTGAACGTGTCTGTTGTTCTTGTTGCTGTTTGCTGCAGTTTGCTTGCTTTTTGTTGTATAATTAATTAATAAATTTAATTACCTTTATGTATATATATATATACATATATATCGATTTGTAAGTACAAACATAGCGTACAGAATTTCGTCTCCACTAATTTCAAATTTAATTGTTTAAACATTTTTCTATTGTGTTGCATGTGTGTGTTTTGTGTGTCTGTGGGTGAACATTCTCAATTATGCTTGTAAGTACTTAGTTAAATTAAAATATTTTGTTTTTCTTTCAAATGTAAATTCAATTGAAACTTCATTTGGTTTCCCTTACATTTCTTTTTCACTTTCAATGCTGTGAATCCTTAGACAAAAGTTACATTTACACATATACAGATTTAAATTTAAAAATTATCATTAATTTTAAGTGTATATAGTGTTAAATTTATCATTTGCTTTCTTGGTTTCCCATGTAAGTGTGAAATGCAGGTGTGGATGTGAGTGGGTAGTGGGTGTAAGGGGCGTGTCATATATATTTAATATAGTTACAGTTACATAAAAATACAATACATAGCAAAAAGGTACATATATAGAGACTTAGAATACGCTTGTTTTTACTGAATTATTTAATACGATTTTTAGAGACAAAGACAACATATGAGGACAATCAATTGATACATGTAAACAGTGACAGTGAACGAACAGTGACAGATGACAACAACATAACACTCAGATTTGTAACATTCATTATGTTTGGGTAAGTTTTCTGTTTGTGGATAGGGATTGATAGTTTTTGTAAAACGATTTTAAAGAATTAATAAATTGGGTAGTGAGTTGAACAGTCGCATTAACCCAAAACCAGCGATAAACGAGTATAATCTAATCAAAATGCTCATGATAAATATAAAACAGTTTGCCGTTTACTGCACTACAGTCTTCCCTCCAAATCACGATTAATATAGCATAGCCAAAGTATGAATAATATCTAAACTAATCGTTGATGACTTAAAATAAAATGCATATGTGACAATTTGAACTGAAGTTGCTTGCTCTTGAAGATCTGATCCCTTTCATAAATTCAGCATAAATCCAAACTCCTACGTGGCAAAACCAATCTAATTAAATATCAGTTTCGGTTTCGGTTTCTACAAGCGTTCCCTGAACGCATCTACATAACTACACTAACCTCGACCAATCATTTCAAACCCGACTGCTACTGGAAAATTGTTTTCACCCACAAATTTCGTGCACTTAGTAGGTCTAATTCGTCGTACGTTTCCCGGTCCTTCAACTTGGTTTTCTTTTTGTAACACAGCCAATCAACGATGCCTCCTTCCATCCAACCGACCTTCGACCTTATCGCTCCTCTGTTTTTCTGCATAGACTGAAGATAAAGTAATTCAAATATTGAGTACTTGTTTTCCATATTTTGCTTGAATTTGTTGTATGTTATATTGCTCTCGGTTCTGTTAATTTTTTGTGGATCTATTTTGCGTTCGTACAAATTTCTACTCCCTTTTTATACAAAATTGTGCTATTTTTGCTATTTTGTTTAAAACTATTTTTGAGGCTGTTGTTTTAGAATTCGTTATAACTTTTAAATGCTAGTTTATATTTTACTTTTTTGTATTCCGTTATTCTTATGTTTGGGCACTACTCATTGCGGTTCAGGGCATCTTTTTGTATTTAGTAAATAGTATTTTATTTGTAATATCAAGTTTAACAAATCTTTGTAGGCATTATGCACGGGTACAGGGCGTTGCATTATTTGTTTTGTTATTCTCATTCCATCCTCGGCTAATATCTTAAATCGTCTGTGTGTGATTTGGTACAAATTTTATGGTACTAGGTTGCATACAAATTAAATAAATTCATTTGTGTAAGTATGACTGTACAGTAAAACCAAATAGTTTCGCTTAAGGACTCCCGCTAGTTGGATTCGGAATAATGAAATTAACTATATGATATTCATCAGATGTGTCTATCGAAACCAATTTATTCTCCGATCATCGAAATTTATATCTTTATTTTGAATAAGCTTTAATCGAGAGCTGGTTGAAAATGGTTTTAATTTATTGGTAAGTTCTAAGATGCTTTATTATGTACAAAAATGTATGCGCAACTGGTTCGATTAAACGTGCATAGTAACAGAATAACTTACCAAATCAAATATGCACTTTAGTAGGTATTCTTATCAAAATTAAGTCCGCTTTGCTTTACGTAAATATTATTTGCCATAGGGTTAGTTAGCTTTAAGTGTAATTAGGTTATTTCCTTATATCCTCCATGAAATTTATACCATTTGTAAATATTTATTTATTTTAAATATATTCGAAATAATCCCCTATATTTCGTTATGCTTATAAATTAATTAATTTCATTAAATGCTTAAATTCATTAATGCACTTTATATGTACTTTTTGTGTTGCTGTGTGTGAAATTTGCTATATCCTTACCCCGTATAAATATATATTTATGAATTGGTATATATGAATAACTGTCGTTAAAACTATTTATATAGGTGTATATATAATGCTAAATGCAGTATACTTGTGTATATTCATTTGTTATACTTATACTTTCCTGGTTTGAGGTTTTGTCAGTATAAAAAACTATTGGGAGAGCTGGGGCCGAAAACTGGCCATCATTTTAATTTTTTGCCTTTTATTTATTTTTATTTTAATTGCATTAAATGTAGCCTCTTAAAGAAAAACTCAATCCTAAGCTACCTATTTATGTGTGACAATAGTAATTTAGCTAGCAGTGTTCAAAAAATTAATTTGTTTTTTAATATTTTTAATTAATTTGATGTGAACCATTTGCAAACTATTTACAATTCATATTAGTCATCTTAATATATTTCAATGGTTATTCGGTTATGTTCAATACTTTTATAAATTTGTATTTTATCATACGCTTTTGAACTTAACGAGAGGTATTTCTATTTTCCCAAGTGTTAATATCGCCTTTATCTTCAATTATGTATTCCTTTTATTCGTGTTGTTTGTCGTTGTTTTGGGGCCTTGTTTCAGTATCATAATTTGTTAAAGAAATAAGAAGGTGGTAAATAAAGAAACATCTAAATTTTAATATATTGTATATAAATTTTTATTTAGGGCTTTGCAGTTTAAACAGTATTTTTAATAAAATTATAAACTATATTTATATCAATAATATTTGTATAGCATTTGTATCGTTTCTTCTTTAAAATAATATTTATAACGATTGAACCCAACTTAATAGACTTAAAAGATTTAAACAAAATCAAAAATCAATAAAAAATTACATAATAGAAAACGTGAAACGTTCTTTGCTTTGCTTTAGCTTGCAAAATGTTTCGTGAAAGTGTTTTGAATTAAACATATATGTATACATGCCAATGTTTTAAATTTAATGTTTAATAGTTAATATAAAATTGGTTAAAATTACAAATTAGTTTAAACAAAACCTGTAAAATAGCCTTCACATGAAATTGCAACGCCAACTTTGCTTTGCGCGCTTTGCTTTCTCGCTTTGATATAAAAGTATTTAAGAGTAGTTACAATAAATTTAAACGAGCATTAACTAAATTACAAATTAAAATTTTAGACGGCGCAACATAGAGAAATTAATTAATGAAAATATGTACAGTTATAGGGATAGTTTTAATAATAATTGAGTCGAAGAGAAATGATTTGGGTCCGGTTGGTAAATTGGTTATGCAAAAAAGTAATGTTCGAAGATGCTTCAAAATGTTTAGAAGGTAAACATAAAGCAAAGCCTTTGGGGGTCGCTATCCTCGTGCTTTTGGAGCAACAAATTAGCAACATTTAGTATATAAAATTTAACAAATTATCACACTGAAAAAAATTCAACACTACTTTTAAATATACATTAGCCATACGTACACAAATACGTAAGCATGTTTGTGTTTTTGTGTGTTACATGTTACATGTTTTCCCTTCAAATTGTATACATTATATTATCGCTTGTCGTTATGTCTAGAGCTTAGCCAACTGCTGCCGTTGCCAGCGCCTCTCCAAATGTTATACAATAGTAATGTTAATTTTGTTTTAAATATACATATATCAATTTAACAACACCTCGAAACGGTCAGCACTTCTTAACGCATAATTATTTATGTTTCTGCTTTGTTTCTGTTTTTCCTTCTTTTGTATATATAGCTCTTAGAACTAGGCTTTATCTTTAAACGTAATAAATATGCATTTCTTTTATAATTTTTTCATCTTTTTATGAAGTTATTTGCGGTTTTGAAAATATTTAACTATAGCTTGTATCTGGTAATTATTTTTTCGCAATTTCTTTTAGACGAGGTTCCCATTTTGCTTTACAATTAATATTTGCTAGTATTATAAAATAAATATATTTAGGTATATATTTTTTAAATAGTGCTGCTAATATTTTAAGTTAGATTTACATGCTTCCGCCTATCATCCATTGATTTTCTATTATTTTTCGTTATTTAGAGCCATAAATGCGTGCGCAAGAGAAGTTTGGTTGAATGTGATCCTTGGGTCGGGTGTAGGCACCTTAGGGTCACCTCGTAGCGCTGCTGGTGAAGAAGTCCGCTAAGAATATATAGTTTTGAGTTTAGACCAACGTAAGTTTATACGTGATATATCTATTTTACTTACGCGTCTCAAAACTAAAGCCCAGCGTTGGATCTGGCGGCGTGTTGAGCATGGAGTTGCCGACATTGCCGCTGCCCGTGGGCGTGACGTTGCCCATAGTGTTTGTACTGTTGGCCCCGCCCACAATTCCTCCGCCGCCCCCGATCACTGGACCTTGCTGCAGCGGACTCTGTGGCGTCTGTCCCCGCTGGGCCACGCCTCCTCCGCCGCCGGCTCCGCCCGTGGCCGCCGCAGCCGCCTGCTGGGCTCTCACACTGACCACCGCCCGCAGCTCCTGCTTAACGAAATCGGAGTTGGCATTACCACCTGTTACTCCTCCACCGCCAGCTGAAAGAGTCAAATGAGATGACATTAATGATCATGGATCTAAGACCCAAAAACAGTGGTTTTTATAAGGTTTAGTCACATTGGTTTGGCTCAAATCTAGACATAAAACATAAAATAAATACAAAACATACACAATTAAAATACAACATGGAACACAAAGGTTGAGGCACACTAAAAATTGGGATCGAAAAAAAAATGTATCCAAATAGGTGTAAAATAACATAAAATCCTAGAGCAGTGACCAATATTCATATTGCAAATCGAAAGTTTCTAGCTCTCCATATTCTAGTTTTTTTTTAATATTAATTTTTTTTTTGTAATCGGGAGTTTTGGGATTTGTTCTTATGTCTATACATTTTACAGGGATATTAGGAACACCGAATGTTTTTTGTGGGGGTGCAGCGACTGCAACTATGTATGCTAGATATTATATACAGCTCAACCGACTTGTCTTATTGGGAATTGGTTAATTACAATGATCGTACAGTTATACAAAGATATATACGCATATGTGTGGGTTAGGGGTGTAGATATGTGTGGCTTTCAGCTTAAATGTAGATCTTGTTTTCATATGTATATACAGAATGTTCCCAAAATTTTGATTTGCTTTACGATGCGTGGCAATGGATTATACAGCCATATATATATATATATTTATATATATGTACACAGAGTTTAAGGCGGGGTGATTTATACAGCGATCGCGTGAGAAATTTAAATGAGAGTTTGAGTTTGAGAGAGAGAAGAGCACACAGGCTTACCGGTCTGCGCCCGACCATAGAAATCATTTGCCTGCTGCGATTGCCCGTAGCCGCCAAGGGTGGCACCATAGTTGCCGCCCCCGCCGCCAAGGCCAATGATGCCGTTGCCACCGCCACTGCCCATCCCGCCCACGCCCATCATCGCCGGATGCGGATGGGGATGTGGCGACATGCTCAGCCCGTTCATCAGCTGTTGCTGTTGCTGATGTTGCTGCTGCTGTTGCTGCTGCTGCTGTTGTTGCTGCTGCTGCTGGTTGCTGGCGGCAGCTGAGCTATCAGTGTTGTTGCTGCTGCCCGGTGAGGAGCCAAAGCGTGGCGAGCCTGTTTTGGTTAAGCGGTTTTGGTTGGTTTTCGTTTGGCTTTGATTAAAACTAGTTCAGATTATCAAGTGTTTGTATGTGATATGTGTGTGTGTGTGTGTGTAAAGCTGTCTAAGTATGTATTTTAATGTTTAGTATGTGGATTAAGGGGTGCTTAAATCACAAGAGATATGTCAACTACATTTGAATACCATACTTTGTATCAAAGGCATCAGGAACTGTAATCTCTCTATATGCTAGTTAAAATCCCCCTTACTTGATCCTAAAGTTGTTTTTGCTTTTTTCGTAATAACCAAACTAAAGGCCTAGTTCTCAGTTTATCCAGCTTGCTCTCAAACTCCCCGTAGCGTTCCTTACCTGGCAGATGCTGGGTGGCCTGTGGAACACTGCCCTGCCGCTGCAGTCGCTGCAACTGTTGCTGCTGGAAAACGTTGACATTGTTGCCGTACGGCGACTGCGGACCACCGAATCCCACACCGGAGCCATCGGGCGTCGTGGGCCCGCCACCGCCCTGTCCCTGGAACGAGTTCTGCCGCTGCAGGGCCGCTGCGGCCGGATTGCCGCCGGGTGCAACGGCTCCCGGGGAATTCAGGCCGCGTCTCTGGTTCTGTTGGTATTGACGCGCATTGTACGGACTCACGCCCTGCAGCGCGGCCATGGAAAGGTGTTAGTTGGTTGGCTTTGGCGGGCTCAATTCTCAGACACTCACCTGCAACTGTGCAATGAGCATCGGGTTGTGCTGCTGCAGTGTTCTTCCGGCGTTACCGGCTGGCAGTGGACCACCGGGTCCTCCGCCCCCTCCTCCGCCTGCTCCCCATTGCTGTGGGCTGTTCTGCATGCCCGGCGATTGCATTCCCGAGTTTGAGCCGAAAGGAGTGTTGGAACGTCCGCCATCACCAACCTGTTGCTGCTGCTGCTGCTGTTGTTGCTGCTGGTAGGCCAACTGTTGCTGCTGGGCATTGTTCTGTTGCTGCTGGTTGAGCTGCTGCTGCTGCTGCGGGGAGAGACGTTGGCCAGGCTGCGGGAACTGTGGGGCATAGCCTGTGGACAAAAGTATTCACGATCAGTAATTAAATTCACAATATTCTGAAATCAATCTCACCTTGATTGGGCTGCGGACTGTAGGGCGTGCTGCGACCGGGACTCAGCTGCTGCTGCATCAGGGTCTGAGCAAAGTTTGGACTGAGCTGGGCGTCCGAGGGCAGGTTAGTGCGGGATAGGGTCACGTTTGGAGCCACCGTCGTGTTGAGCAGCGAGCTAATGTTGTTCAAGCCCGCATTCATGCCAGCTAAAGTAGAACGAGTTGAAATGTATTATAAGTATAAGAAAAACAAAAAACATTACTTAAAAGGGAATTTAAATTTAAGTTACATTTTAATATCAATAAGCGACTTTTCAGGCACAGTGTGGTCTCAAAGTTTCCATTAGTATTGCTCATACGACGCATAAGCCAGTTAGAATTGTGTTTGAATAGGGTGTACATTATACGAGCACAATAACAAATAATTGATTTTGTTTCACTACAAGATTTGGCCCACAATCCTAAGACGTTTAATAATAATAAGGGCAACATTCCCTTTTACTCACTGGCATTCTCTGGCACGAGCAACTGTTGCTTCTGCTGTTGTTGCAGCAAGCGCTCCTTCTGCTGGGCGGCCGCCAACTGTTGCTGTCGCAAGTTCCGCATTTGCTGCTGGGCGGGCAAGACCACGCCCCGGGAGTGGCCACCGCGTTCATGGGTCCACGTCCGCGGGCGGGATACATGGGTGGTGGTCGCTGGAAACCCTGATTGCGCATGGCCTCCAGACCCTGCATGATGTGTTGCTGTCTTTGCTGTTGCTGCTGTTGGTGTTGCTGCTGCTGCTGCAGGTTGAGCATGCCCGGATAGGCGGGCGGCTGCTGCAGATGCTGCTGTCGCTGTTGCTGCTGCTGCTGCTGGGCAACCTGCATCGCCAGAATTTGATGCTGCTGCTGTTGTTGCTGGTGCTGTTGCTGCTGGCTCATCATTAGGTGTTGGCTCAGATCGTTGCCAAAAGCAGCCGACTCCACGTCTAGCATCAGCGACTTTTGAATATCGCTAATGGCCGAGGCCTCCGAGGGGGCATTGGTCACGATCGGAGTATCATCCGAATAATAATCCATAACGCTGTCCAACAGCTTGGAGAGCTCAGAGTCGCCATCGCCCAGTATGGCCGCCGCTGCTGCTGCCGCCGCTGCAGCCGCCGCAGCCGAAGTGGAGGCCGCTGTGGTAATTGAGGTAGTTGCTGTGGTCGCCAGTTGCTGTTGCTGGTGCTGGAAGGCCAGCTGCGGCGGCTGGAGTTGCTGTTGCTGCGGCTGCTGGCTGAGGTAGACATCGTTTGGCTGCTGTTGCTGCTGCTGGGAAGGAATGCCGGCTGCTTGTTGCTGCTGTTGTTGTTGCTGTTGCTGTTGCTGCTGCAGTTGCTGTTGCTTTCGGTTGCGATTGGCGGCCGCCTTGGGTCCGGTGCTGCCAGCGCTAATGAGGTTGCCCGGAGCGGCCAGCGTACTGCTGGAGCTGGTTATATCCGGCAGCGTCTTCACTTGCAGCGGCTGCTCGGGATTGGGTGCTTTGGGTATCTTTGGCGGATTCTGCAGTAGCTTGGCCAACATCTTGTTCTGCGTGCACAGTTTGCTGGGCTTGTCCTCCGACCGTTTGGCCGAGGGGTCGTCGTCGGGCTCGTTGAGCGACCGCTTGCGACTCAGCGGATCGCTCTGGATCTTGAGCATGGCCTTCAGATCCTCGGTGCTCATGTTGCCACCGGCATTGCCACGGTGCATACCATGGCCGCCTCCGTCCGGATTTTTCAACTGGCGCATCAGCTCACTCTGGCGGGAGTTGTTCATGGAACCCGGTCCACCACCCGATCCGTTGCCATCATCCTCCTCGGACTTTTCGTTGAGCAGCTATGAATGAAAGTATTTAGACATGGGGTTCCTCTTCGCAGTAGCAATCACTACTTACCTTGAGCAGCATGGGGTTCTGCGAATTTCCAGCCTTGTTTAGCATGCTGGAATTGCCGACACCTCGTGGCATCGATCCCATGGGTCCGAACATGCCCATGGGTCCTGGCTGGCCGCCCATCTTAAAGCCACCAACGGCGAGCTTTTCCTCATCGCTAACATCCGGCTTGAAGTACTGTCAAATTCACAAAAATGGTATTAGATAGGTGCATATTTAGTTTTTGAATCTTTAAAAAAAACACTTTTTTAGATAAAAAAGGAAGGGAATTCTACATGGAATCCGAAATACTAGTAGTTCAAACCGCTTTACAGGAATGTAAATGTTGTCAGAATTAGGTATTTGTTTTTTTATGCCAATATAAAATGGAGTACATGTTAATATAAACCCTTTTTATCGTATTTTTTTGATGATATAAGAGACAAATATAATTCTCTCAATTGATTTAAGTGAAATATTCGGGTAATACTGACCTTCTCATCCTCGCCCATTCCTCCCAGCCCGCCGGCCATGCTCGACTTGGTCAGCAGGTGGCGCAATCGCTCCGAGGATTCCTGTTGTTGCTGCTGCTGCTGCTGTTGCGGCGGTGTCTGCTGCTGATGTTGCTGCTGCTGTGAGAGCAACAGTCCACTCACTCCGTTTGGCAAACCGCCCATCAAAGCGTTGTTGCTGCTGCTATTGTTGTTTCCCTGCTGCAGCTGCTGTTGCTGCTGGACATCCTTCTCGGGCTTTACATCGCCCGCCTCGAAGGAGTGGAAGTTGAAACCGTAGTTGCCTCCGCCGGCGCTGGCATTCGACTGCGGCGATGGCAGGCTGGCGGCGGAGTGCGAGGAGAGCTGATAGGGCGTGGCCGGGGAGGCGCAAACGGCCGGACTGAATCCGTGACCCGACGGAGGACGTGGCGTGCTGACGGGCGTGGCCACCGAGGCCCGCGAGTTGGGACGCGAATCCGTCCAGGCTCCCACGCCACCGCTGGGATCCATATCGAGGGAATGTGCTGCAATGTCGAATTCGAAGGTGTCGCTCCCGTAGAAGCTGTGCTCTGCAGCTGCCGGCGATGCGGTGAAGGCATTGACCAGCGCATTGGCCGACGAACTGGCCGAGGAGCTGGCTCCGGATCGCTGCTGCTGCTGCTGTTGCTGCTGCAGTCCGCTGCCATTGATGATTGCGCTGCTCATCAGCGGTCCGCCCACGCTCGTGGTCTGTGTGCTGTTGCCGCCGCCTCCCTGCTGACCGCCGCCCACGAGTCCGCCCAGCAGATGGGTGGTTAGCATGCCAGAGGCCGCCGGCGAGGAGGAGGATCCAGAGCCCGAACCATTTCCGCCGTGCAGACCATCCATGGACAGCGTGCTGAGCAGGGAGCTGGCGAGCGAGGGACTCGGCGCCATGGCGCACAGTTGGCCAAGGCCCAATCCCCCACCACCCGCTCCCGTGTTACTGCTGTTCATGTCGTTCTCCGAGTTGAGCAGCGTCTGCACGGACATGATGAAGTCGCCCTCGCCGGGCGTTTGATTGAGAAACAGTCTCGAGTTGGCCTTCACGTGCACGTAAACATCCGGCGCTCCCAATCTGAGGCGAAACGGACGCGATACCACACTAGAGGCCGCTCCTGCACCCGGCGAATTGGCGCTGGCCGAGTCCTGGATGTCGCGCAGGTGCGACTTGAGCGTGGAGAGGTCGTGCGGATGACAGAGGTCCTGCCACAGGCGCCCAACCCACGTCTGCAGGTGCTGCTTGAAGGGCTCCCGGAGAGCCGTGGGATCGAGGGTGAGTATTTTGCCGTGGATGTCCAGCTTGAAGGTCATCTGCTCGATCGGCTGCTGTTGCACATGCTGCTGAATGTTGATCTCCAATGGAGACTCGTCCTCCGGTCGGGTAATGAGGCACAGCACCGAGCTGCTGGCGTCCGCATCATCTGAAAATTTCATGGTTTAGGGAGTGGATTTGATTTGACTTTATTTTCATACTCACCCTTAACTGGAGCCGCTATGAGGACCACCTCCTCGTACTTGTCCTGGTGGCCGGACTGCCGCAGGGGCTTCTCCTCGCAGTTCGACAACGTCTGGGTGGCAGTGCGTGTGTCCTTGACTAGCATGCGCACCTTGGTGGAGATGCTGCTGCGCTTCGATTTGCCCACCGCAGCGCCTCCTGGTCCGCCTCCTCCTGCGCCCGCTCCTCCAGAGCTGGAATTGGAACCCGCCGACTGCTGAGAGGCGTTGCCATTGTTCAGCTCCTCGAGATCGCCCCAAACGCCCGCGGGTCCGGCACTGCCACTGGCGGAGTTGCTACCTCCGCCATTTGGATTGGCGTTCATGTTGTTGATGATCGGCTCTAGCTTGGCGTGATCCCCCTTATAGAGGTACATGTAGAGCGGCTGGTGGTACAGCTCCTGTTTCTCATAGCCGATCAGCTCGCGGATGTTCTGCGTGCAGGACTCAATGATGCCGTTGGCGTTCACCTGCAGCAGGACCCAGCCGACGCCGCTGATGTAGTGTTCGAGTGCCTCGAAGTACGCCGATATCTCCGGCACCTGGCCGAGGAGGAGGGATGTCTCCGAGAGGGGGGGTTCCGTGGAGGAGACCTCACCCTGTTGCACCGGATGGATCGAGCAGTTGTCCGTTGCGCAGCGGCTGCAGCGTGTTGAGGTTGCTTGCGGTTTGCTGGTGTTGTTATTGTTGTTGTTGTTATTATTGTTGCTATTCGTGTTGTTGTTGGTCGTTGTCGTGGAGTTGTTGTTGTTCGTCGACGTTGAGGATATATCACGGTTTTGGCCCTTGTCACAAATCTCACGGTACTGAAAGGAAAGATACAAAAAAAAAACATGTTGATTACAAAATTAAATTCAGTAAAATAAAATATTTGATACAAATTTAAACTTTCGTAATTTGGAACAGGAACAATGGTATGGTTTTTTAAGTTAAATATGAAAGACTTGAATAGTTGCAAAATTTAGAAAGTACACATTTCACATTGAAGTTTAAGTTAAAATAAATAATAAAAATCCTAAGGGAAACAACCCAGAAAATATCAATTTCAACATTAACACAATTCAAAATTACATAATTTGTTAAGCCTTTCAACAGAGAATAATAATTCATATAAATCGTCCGTAGATTAATATATATTTTATTGGCAGTAATTTTTAAATTGTATATTATCATTAATATTATATTTAAACATATAGAGCAAAACAATAAATATTGTAAGTGTTTTAAGGTGATTTTCCAAACAACATGGGTTTAAATCTAAAGAGATTTCATTTGTAAAAATTCCTTATAATGCAATTTAAAATATATCGCTCGATTTGTGCGGCCCTGTAAATATTAATCTTAAAGACCACTTTGTGACAGGCCTTATAAAGACTCATCATCGTCTCAGATCGCATCTGTGAGATACATATTCCGAATATAAAAACTTCATTCATATCGCGCCCACTTTATCGGCGACATTTAAGCAGCGGCATTATTTATTTGGTGATGATGCGGAAGCATCCCGTGCAAAAACTCATGCATATTATGACACACAGCCAGTCAGTAATATAATTATTATTATAGCACGCAGATCGGCACACTTTGTGTGGTGGAGTAGTAAATAAAGCATGAAGAGGGGGGAGGAACTGTGGACATGGGGAATTCGCTCATTGTATTGACACAATGGAAGTGCAATAAACCGCATTTTATCATTCTATGTTTGTGTTATTTTTACGCGCGCGTTTGAAAAAAAGTCATTGACATTTGCGAAAAGCACGCGAAAAGCCCCCGTCATATTCAAATATTATTGTTATTGTTAGGATTTCGTTTTCCTTAGAATTTTCACTGCACACCTTCCACGGCCACCCACTCTTCCAGTGGCGCCCACTCTCTCTTGGAACAGTTCCTCTCTCACACATGGGAATTCAAGGTCAGTCAACTTCAACTTCGCGTGGACAAATGTCAATGGCATTTCACTTTTGTTTTGGTTTCGCCGTGGCTCCTTCTTCTTATTGGTTTTTTTTTCTGTTAACTTATCAGCCAAAACCTAGGACTGAATGTGTGACTCAATTCGGGCCAAGAAGCAGCAATTACTCACGAAAATCACGGAAAATACAGAAAAACAGAACACAGAACGTTCGCACAGTCACAAAGTTTCCGAAATACTAAACACACATTTTTGAATGCAATTGTGTTAAAAAACGCACAACAAAAAATAAGCTTTGCGCTCTCTCTCTGGAACTCTCACCGTTTCCAGTTTTGTTTACCGGCTTGTTTGGGTTTTGGGCGAGTGTGTGTGTTTGTCTTATCACATTGTGCACCTGTTTGTTTGTGTGTGTGGGCGGGGGAGAGAGTAATTTCTTGTGGAGCAAAACCAAGCAACAACAATTAAGAACAATATAGAATGAAACGCAATCGCAACTATGTGAAATTGCAAAAAGAGATGCGACGTCATCGTCCAAAAAGCATTTCAAAGCAGTTCGTTGATCTCCGAAAAAAGAGAGAGAAAGAGCTTTTACTTGAAAGGAAGCTCCCTCCCCATTGCATTGGTATGTGTGACCAGGAAAAGTTGCTCCCGAGCACGAATTTTTTGGGGTGAAGGTACTCCGAAAAATATCAGTCAAATGATTAAGTAAACAGAACAACAACAAGGGCAACAACGGTAGCAGTTGCAAAAAAAACAACAAAGCTCAGCGCGTGCAGTCGCGAAAATGTCCAAAACGTGTCTGTCTCTTGTCTACCCTCCTCTCCCTATCCCCCTTCCCCAACATCCCTATCTTAAATTTTTGGCGCGCTGTGACCCATAGACTCTTCCAAAATGATCGCATCAGGTAAAATCAGAGAGAGATAAAAACCAGCAGCTGTGCAACGGAAAAAGGGGTTTGTCAACACCCGTATCCGTATCTCTATAAGGCACTGGATCGAGGGATAAAAAGCTCAAACTCAATTTAATTGAGGCAGAAGGAAGTTTTCGAGTTACTTTTGGGCTTCTAAGGATGTGTGGGTTTCAGCATGTGCAGGACAAATAAACTATATTCAGGTATCTAAATAAATCTGCCTTAAAGCTCTTTGTTCTTCAGATAAAGATTATGAATGTAATAAAAAATGAAAATGCCATTTTCAGATAAACACTTTCCAGATGTACAACCTTGCCTAACCTTAGTCAAAACTTCCATAACTCGAGCGAGATTTTAAAAAACCTTAAGAAACTTTTATTCTGAGTGTCAGGAAAGAATACCACATGTAAATTTGTGTTATTATTAGCTTCCATTATTTATTTTTGATGTTTTAAAACAAATTTGGAGTCATTTTTGTTAAAGATACTATAAAACACACGTACATAACTACCCAGAGAAAACTAGCAATAGTTTTTGATTCAAAGTCATTGTCAAAATGTTTTTACCCTGTTTTTGCTATGTGCAACATACTTGAATTTTAGAGCTCATTTTTTCCGTGTACAATAAATACAGCATAAAGGCTAAGGAAGTACAATCAATAGTCAATGGATTTGAAGTCCCATATTCAGGTGATAATGAATGTTGTTTTACAAAGTATGCTACAAAAAATGTAGTTTTGAAAGCCTCGCAAAAACTAATCCTGGATCCAAAATTGCTTACCATTTATCTATATATTGATTTCTTAATACGAAATTTAATTAACTATAAAATATTATATATAAGCAGAACTCGATCAGGTATTAAAAAAAAATCAATGTTCCTCATGTCCATTTCGCTATCATTCAGTATTTTATCGAACTTCTTTAATCGACTTTTTAACTCTCAAGTTATCGATTTTAAAATTTACTAATTTTGAAACATTCTCCCACATTTTACTGCCACATTTCTCAACAGTTTATTGGGCTATTTGCTCTGGCTATTTCGAACCGGTGGGGTGGGATGGGTCTATAAATAACACCGCACACACCTCGTAGAACCCAATCAGCCAATCAGCGATAACAGACAAGGTGGTGTGGAACCAGTGGAGGAAATAGAACAAATGGAACTCATAGTACCAGCGATGACAACTGGCGCCGTGGCTTAGTTGGTTAAAGCGCCTGTCTAGTAAACAGGAGATCGTGAGTTCGAATCTCGCCGGGGCCTTCCAAGTGGAATTTATATATTTTTAATATTTTTTTTATTATTGGTTATATTAACCAGCTAATTGAGTTGTGTTTTGCCAAGTGAATAATAATATTTCATGGGGTCCGTCAATTGGATTACCGCTCGAAATGAGCTGCGTTCGATCCCTCCGATGGCTTTTCTCATTAGGGAAAAGCTAACACGATACGGACGCATTTAATTCAATTTATTTATCATGTACGGAACTCATATGTGAGCTTGTTTGTTGTACCCTTTAATTGCATTTCATTGCCCGATGACTTGTTTTGTTTTCGCCCCGGATTACAAAATAAAATTATGTATTTTGTGTTTTGGCTTTGGCTGTGGCTGTGCGCCGCATTTCATTTAAAAAGCCATTTGTTGGTTTCTGTCTTTTTCAGTTTTTTTTTTCTGTCGGTTTTTTGGATGTTCGGCAAAGCGTGGCGCTTGGCTCGAAAATAATTTGCATAATAAAGTGCTTAGGCTACCTGAAACCAATAAAAGAAATACCGAAACAACCAACAATAATAATGCCGCCTAAAACAACATAAAGCCGCTGGTTGGGTCGCGTCGGGTCGGTCTATTGAAACATAAATAAATTTATGTAAATTAAATAAAAATATTAATTAAATTGTGTTGCGGCGGGGGTCAAATTACGTCAGCCAACTCTTCTTCGCCGTTTCTACACCTCTCTCATTCCCTTTCGCGAATTCTTTTCAACTCTTTTCGGTTGAGCTTTTAATTGCTTTTTAATTGGAACGCGTTTTTGGTTACACAGAGCAAAAAATTCCTCAATTCGCATTTATTTAAAAATAATTGCTTATATGAAAGTGGGCCTATCTTAAGTTTATAACATTTTTATCAACCAAAATCAATGTTCCATTTTATTTAATTTTTAGGATCAATTCTTTTATGTCAATTTTAGAATTACTAGAAATATGAATATCAAAATACAATTAGCGAAAATGAAGCTAATATGAATATAAAAAAATATGCAAAATTGTTAATTTTTTCTCTGTGTGTATGAAAAAGAAGCAGACAAAGATAAAGTTGCGGGGAAACTGCATGGGAATTACATTGGGGAATTTCGCTCAGTTGTGTTTTTGTGTTGTAATTGATCATTTGGTATTCCGAACAGGCCAATGGAATCGACTGGCCAAGTCCACCACAGTAAGCCATTCCCAGGGTGTTAAAACAACTTGTATTGCTTTTTTGTATTTGGTCGCGTTTCGGGCTTATTAGTTTCGTTTGATGAGTTTATGCATTGGGGTCTTGACGACGGTAATTAACTTGTATGCGTGGGGGAGTGGGTGGCTATTCGACGAATATGTATAGATTCCTTACCGTTCGAACCACTTGGTTTAGTATAGCCGCCTTGTCCGGTTTCGTTGAGGTCATATCTCCACGCTTGTTCAGCGTCAATATCTCCGACAACTGCTCGATATAGCCGTTCTCCGCCTCGCGACGTCGCTTCTCATTGTTGCATTTGTTGATTTGTGATTGTGGCTGCAAGAGGCACAACATTAATATTTAATATTTTGCTTATTTATTAATTTTATCTAACAATCTAATATATGCAATACATATGAGATCTCAATTTAACTCGGTTTAAGGTTAATGTTGCATATTTTATCCAACTATCTTTATAAAAGCTAAACTGATTTATCAATATTTGAAATGCATTCGATTGGTGTCTATGCTAAAATTCAGAGTTGATAAAAAATACAAATTTTTACAATTTTGGGATTATAACTTTTGTGTAAGAAACCGAAATTTGCCTAAGATAAATTTACCCACCTTTATATATATATTTATTCGATTTCAAAAAAATTAATTGAGTTTAATCAAAATTTGATTACTGAGTAATGAGAAGAAAAATTGCTCAAAATCAGCCTAATGAAATAAACATTTAAAGCCTATTTAATTCTAAATTTTTTTTTTGTTTTATTTAAAACGTAAAACAAAATCCTCATAATAATATAAGCACCAAATTTATGTATGGCTACATTAACTTTTAATTTTTAGAAAAGTGTATACTAAGTTGTAATAAGAAAGGGACTTTTTTGTTTAAAAACGAACATCTAAGGCAACTGTTTTCTATTATCTGATATATGAACGATGACTTATACACTTTTGCTACAGCGAACTTATTAAAATTTTTGCCGGATGAAGTTAGGCAATTTTAGAGAGATTTAATCGTGTGAGTTAAGGTCGGGACTTCCCCGGTAGAAACTCACCAGATTGACCTTTGAATCCGTCTTGCGTCGTATCTTTCGGCCCTGCGGCCCTGAGTTGGCAGAGTTGGCTGAGATCGGCGATACCACTGCATTCATAATGGCAGTCGATCGCTGCAGCGCAGCTGCAATATTAGCCGTTTGTGCGGCAGCAGCGGCCGCCGCCTTATTTTGGATAGATCGCTGCGAATTGATTTGTTGCTGCAGATGCTGGTGTTGCTGGTAGACCAATTGTTGTTGCTGCTGCTGATGCTGCTGTTGGAGTGTAAGTGCCGCTGCTGTTGAGGCGCCTGCCACGCCCCCAGCACCAGCCCCGCCTCCGCTGGCTGCCGTCGCGCGCTGCAATAGATGCGTTCCGGGCGCCAGTCCGTGATGCAGTCCGCTCAACAAGTTGCTGCCGATGCCGCCGGCGGCCGGCGATAGTGTAACGGCTGCTGTGGCAGCGGCCGGCGAAGAGCGCGGCAGGTTGCAGACCGATATGTTGCCGCTGGTGTACTTGTTGCTGCTGCTGCTGTTGTTGCTGCCGCTGGCGCTGATGCTGCTGCTGCTGCTGGTTGAGGTCGCTGGATTTGATGTACCTGAGGCCCAATGATCTGGTAAGTCACTTGGGCTAAGCCTGAAAGCAGAAATGAAAATTGGAAATTAACAAAATTGTTTTTAGTTCAGCTGGAACTTAATTTATTTAAGTCCTGACCGAAGAATACATATAATGTAGAATATTCCTTTAAAAAAATCAAAGCTATGCAAGTTTATCTTTTGCAACATACATTAAATATATAAATAAATATGTACATATGTATGTGAAAAAATTTTTTTCTATAAAATTTAAGAAATATATTTACAATTTTAACCTACCTCCCTAACAATTATGGCAAATACTTCGAGCGCACAAAATTATTAACAAAACAAGAAAGGAAAGCTAACTTCGGGCGGAGCCGAAGTTTATATACCCTTGCAGAATACTCTGTAAATTATATTCTCCAAAATTATTGATATGATGCATTCTTAATACTCATAAAAAATCCCAACTTCCTAACTTTAAAAACACCAAAGTTATGGCATTTCCAATCGTTCAGTTATATGACAGCTATAGGATATAGTCGGCCGATCCTTATGAAATATGGTAGATCGGATTGATTGGCCAAATATAAAACCCATAGGAAATCCCAGCTTCCTAACTTTACAAACACCAAAGTTATGGCATTTCCGATCGTTCAGTTATATGGCAGCTATAGGATATAGTCGGCCGATCCTTATGAAATTTGGTAGGTCGGATTGATTGGCCAAATATAAAACCCATAGTAAATCCCAGCTTCCTAACTTTACAAACACCAAAGTTATGGCATTTCCGATCAATCAGTTATATGGCAGCTATAGGATATAGTCGGCCGATCCTTATGAAATTTGGTAGGTCGGATTGTATGGCCAAATATATAACCCATAGAAAATTTCAACTTCCTAACTTTACAAACACCAAAGTTATGGCATTTCCGATCAATCAGTTATATGGCAGCTATAGGATATAGTCGGCCGATCCCGGCCGTTCCGACATATATACTGCGTGCAAAGGAAAGAAGGGTGTGTGCAAAGTTTCAACTCGATAGCTTTAAAACTGAGAGACTAGTTTGCGTAGAAACAGACAGACGGACAGACGGACAGACGGACAGACGGACATGGCTATATCAACTCAGGAGGTGATCCTGATCAAGAATATATATACTTTATAGGGTCGGAGATGTCTCCTTCACTGCGTTGCACACTTTTGACCAAAATTATAATACCCTCTGCAAGGGTATAATGAATGAAATGTTATTAGTAATCCTTTAATCTCTGCTAAATTTTGGGCGGTGAGGCGTGGTCAATGTTTAAAAGATAGAATTTCTACTTCTAAAGCTTTAATAAATCCAGGTATTTGAATTATAGACGAACTTGCACTAAATATGTACTTTATATAGTCAAAAAGGTTGTCTAACATTTTTGAATATCAAAAATACCGCGAAAATAAATGAGATAGTACATTGGTGAACGAACCATTGTGCGATGGCCTTGGCTTTGTGTTTAGTCTTTGGTTTTGCGGCTTGGCCTCGTATTCTTATCACATTGTAAAATTTCCTTTGCCTTCTATTTGGTTTTCTATATATTTGACTCAAATTATTTTGGTTAATGTGCTGCCTCAATTACGCTTTATTGCCTAATTAATTTGCATTTGAGGAGCGCAAGAGGCACCGACAACAATTAGCAATTTCTGTGGTTAGCTTTGAATTTTTGGGCTCGGTTTTCGTGGTTGGTGACTTGAATAGTCGCTTTATTTATTGCGACAAAATTGCGCATTAGGAGAGGTTATTATCACCATATATCAATTGAAAGAAGCCTATTTAATAAAATATTGAAATATTGACACAATAGAAAAAGTGGTTTAAACATTGTATTTTAAGGTTTCATTTAATTCACAATAAATTGGCCTTTTCAGTCTCGAGATTTCACTTGCCAATTTCAACTATTTTTAAGAGCAGCATTCCATTCCCTTTCCCCGAAAAACATACATTTTTCCTGTGGAATGTGACATCTTCATTTTATACTGTGGCAGCCCACTTCAAAGGATGTTGAGATATGCTCCTTGTTTTCCGCATAAACTTAATCATTTGTTAGCCGGGATTTTGGCAAGTATTTCGGGGAGTTGGTGACCCCGACTTTTGCCTTTGGGTTGCCACCGCAACGAGAGTCAAATTAATGTTGTCAGCTTTGGACTGGGTTGGATCCCAAAGCCGGTTTAGAACACGGACTCGAAGTGGTCATCATGGCCATTACTCTTGTTGTTGCTTTGGTTTTTTCTCCCCTCCCTTCCTATTATTTTTATTTGGGTTCTTTCATGTCATTTTTCATTTGTTTATGTGATTAATTGTTTACTTCACTTGCTTAAAGTGTGGAATAAATTAAATTTTTTTTTAATTCTGAGCGACAGTTGACAGACTATTTTTCCGGGAAACGAAAAATGAATTCGCGAAAATATGTTAAATTAAAGAACAAGCAAGTTCATCAATTCGATATTACAACACTATATTTTGCTTCCTCTTTTTTGGACTGCATTCACCTCTGAAACCCAGTCAACCGTGAGTCCAAATTGAGGACCACCCGGTGCAGTAACTGCTTCTTATTCTTCCACTTTTTAATTGCATTATATGCATAATGAAGAGAACCCCAGAGATTGGGGAGCGGGTAAGACCCAAGAACTGCCACAAAATAATTACAGACAACTGGACATGCTGGGGAGATGTAATCAGCGCAGAGAAGAAAAAAATAAGAAAAAAAACACAGAATTGTGAGGTAGTTTCGGTAGCCAATCCTCAAAATACACTAGTAAAATCATTTTTTTATTTTATATAAAGAAACCAAAACACACAGAAAATCTAAAGTATATGAAATATAATTTGAATTGGAAAAACATTTTTGCTACATAGAACTTTAAGGTTATATGGAATTGTACACTAATTTACTCATAAAATATACAATTTTTTTTTTAATTTTTTGAATGCATATTTGATATAGGATAGGGGTTTAAACACATGTAAATACATTTTTCATGATTTTGAAAAAAATGCTTATAAAAAAGTGGGTTAACCTGTGACGAGCGGACCGTTGGGCGCCAAAATGAGTGACGTACCGAACGAACTTGCTCCTCTTCCCAATTTTTTTCCCCTCTTGACAAGCGCAATAATTGTGCGAATTCTTTTCGCTGCTGCTTCTGTTTGTTGTTGGCTATTTTGACAGGGCGACACTTCAATGTGGCAGCCCGCTATGATCATAATCATCCACTTCGGCCATATTCTCACTCTATGCTCTATCACTCTCCGCCTGCCTGCCACACAGGCCGTATGATTGACGCGCTTAATTAAGGCAGCCAGAAAAGAGCGAAACAGAGGCGAATAGCGTAAATTAATTAAATTACAATTAATGCAGTAGTCAGTTGACTTTTTTGCGCTATTGCCGTTCGTTTCATTATTCTTGTGCTTTTTGTTGGGCTTATCAATTTGCACTTTGCCGCCTGGTCTTCCACTCTGTTTTTTTCTATTTTGCGCCATTTTATCGTCATAAGCTAAAGGGAGACACATCGTATTTATAGACAAACAACCAAATATATGCAGAGAGTAGAGAGAGAGAAAAGAGACGGAAAACGAAATAACTTTCGCCCCAAAACAAAACAAACATTTTGTCTTGAAATGACAATGGAAAGCATTTGTTTGATCATCGGGAAATTAGCTGTTGGCTGAGCGGCTGGGATAACAGAGATCTTAATGAAAAGTGAATGAGCGCCAATTTATCAAGGCTAAGAAATTCATTTAGTTTTCTAGAAATGGTGAATTTTATTAAAGACTGCTTGTTGAAAGACTTGCTGACCACAGATATTTTTAATTTTTAGACTTGAGAACTATGATTTAAAAGGAAGTTCAACGGAAGGAAAGGATACGTACAATTTAAATTTCAAAATTCTAAAAATCATTCAATGAGAAGAATACTTTTTATTTTTTTCAATACAAGTTATACAAAACATTAATTAATTCAATAAATTACATAATGGTGAAATAACCGTCGGCGCACTGTTTGATCACTGCTGTCGATAAAATTCCCCTTAATTTCTATAACAACCTGTCAGCAGCAATGATTCCCCGAATGTTCTGGCAATGATTTCTCCCTTCCTCTCCTTTAAAACTCTTTGGTGATGAATTTGCATTCCAATGGAGACATAAATCCACCGGCAAGGTCGTTCCATTTCACATGAATCACAGCTCTTGATGGTTAGCCGACAACGAAACGCAAACAGAATCAAAATATATAGAGAAAACAAATTACTCATTATATTTAATGTTGTTTATAATGTCAAGCAGAGTTTTGCATTTTGGCTTTAGCTTTTTTGAGCTTTTATTTTCACCTATGTATGAGAGCTTAGACAAATTGAGTCACGACTCACGTGATGATAATGATGATTTTTATGGAGTGTATGCTGTGCAATTCAAAATCGCATCACTCATACGCAACGTGGACCAAGAAGGTGGGGAGGGCAAAGAAAGTGGAAACGAACCCCGGGGGCAAAGCTCAAAAAATTATTTTATTTTGGTGGGTTTTGGAAGGTCTACGTGATGTTTAGCTTGTCGCCCCAAACTTGGAATTTGGAATTCAAAGTGGATTATGCTAAATTTGTAAAAAATGAAAAAGCAATGTAAGCAATTGAATTTTTGTCTGAGGAAGGAGAATTGTTAAATAAATCATTATGCTTTAGGTAAAACAAACACGATAAAATCAAACACATTTTACCTTTTTTAAATTGCAATAAGCTTTATTCGGCACAGATAAGAAATCGAATGGTCTGAAACTCTGAATTAATTTCGTGCAATGTTGAAATTGACGAAAGTATAATATCAGCCAGAATGTGAACTTAGGACAAATTAAAATTCTACATTTTTAGTTAGTTTATTCTTCAAAAATGACAAATACTAAAACCAATTTTTTTTTATTATTTAAGTTTAAGTTTTATTTTTATTTAAGTTTTAAGTTATTTTATCTTACAAGTTTTTTTTGACTGACTCACATTTTGATTCACTTCCTCAAATTTAACAGTAT